GGGAGAAGATAGAGCAGCTGAATGAAGAACAAAGATGTGTTTAAAGCCCCCCCTTCATACGTGCGCTGACCGGTGATGTGATTAGTAAATGCTAGTGCTTTGTAAACTGATGCTGTCACTTCTCCTACCCTACTTAGATTCTTCATGCTTGTGTTAAAACAATACTACTTTATTTTCCCCATACTTGGAAGAGTTCCCTTTAAATCAAGTCCTCTAAGTTTTTGCCTTCCCCTTTCATTTAACACCGAGTGCCTGATGCGGTGGTGGCTGTTATCTCTCCCCCACAGCATTCAACCATTTCGGCTCGTTGGGCGCATAACGTTTCAGTGTGGCCGAATGCCAGCTCTGGTATATTAAAGCCACACAGCTAAGCTAACAGTGGTTAGTGGTGTTGTCTCCCTTCAGCTTATTGTCTGCCTTTAATCTTGAGCTGATTAATCTGTCCAAGGAGGAGCGAAGGATCATGAGCGAGACAGGCAGAAAAACAGCCATGGATGGTGGGTGAGTGGGAGCTGAAATACTTGGAAGTAAGAGCAGATGTACCTTGTAAGCAATGTGAAACTGTACGTAATGACGGGAGAGCAAAACCAGGCATGTCGGAGAGGTAATTAAAAGTCTTGGTGATTGTGGCTGGAACAATCGTGGCATGTGGGTACGCAGGTGCTCAAATCCCACTGCCTTCCAAAGGGAGGTGAACGCTCGGTTTGTCTGGGAAAAAGATAAACAGACTGTCCAGTGATTTTTGGAATCTTGTCAGTATTTTACCAAGGGAAAAATTAGATGATATGTAAAATACAAAATAATTTTTATTTATTTATTTATTTTTAAAAGCAGTTACTTTGCTGATGTAAGCAGGCTTGCTTGCTTTTAAGCCGTAGGCTATTGCATTTTGGATTCTGCAACTCAGAAGGTTAAAAGATAAATCTACAGAACATTTTCTGTTCATAGCTGAGAAACCACTGTAATCCTAACCTTGGCTTTGCCTTGTAACTTGCTGAGGGTGTGTGTTAAATAGAGAGAAACGTTAGGATTCGGCCTGAGATTCACTGTGATTCAGGGAGCCACTACAAGGACCACAAGCTATTTAATTGCTCCTTTGAAGGTTTCAGTACTGATGAAGTGATACTTAAGTGATCTTTTCTCTTTTTTCCTTCATTTTGTTTCTGTTTTTGGAGCAAGCTTTGAGCTTAAATTGAGCTGGCAACTTCCTTTTCAAACCTCAGCAGCTGACATCATTTGTACAGCAATAATCAACAACAGGAAGAAAACATCTGGACTTGCAGGCAAGAAGAGATCAAGGCTGTAGTGGTCTAGAGAATAAAGGGGTGACAACAGTCGACGCTACAACAGTTTGTCTTGAGTGCGTCCTGCAGATACGAGGCCACTCCAGCGGCTGCAGGAATTAAATGTTCCTGGTTTCCGAGATGAAGGAACAAAAGATGGGGCAGTAAGCTGTGGGGTTCCCTAGAGAGAAGGTCGTTCAGTGAGGTCAGGACAGCACACTGCTTTTCCCATGGGAAACCTCCAGGATCATCTTCACGGCTGGGTTTGCTGCATGCTCCGTTGGGTCAGAAGACCTTGTGTTCGTGGTCCTGTTGCAGATCATACCCAAGGGTCATCTTGGGAACTTAGGGTTGTGGGAATGCAGCGGATGGAGCTTTCATCAGCTGCTTTGTACTGCTCTGAAGCACAGGGATGTTGAAGAAAAAGCTTTTTGTTCTACTCTGAGCTCTTGAGCTGTGCCTGAGGACTGGAAGGAGAGCTTCCTCTGAGCTGCATGTGGGCGATTCCTGTCCACACCAATAGGCAGAAGTAGTTGCAATGCTCAGTTCTTTTAACAGCAAGTGAAGAATCATTCTTGACTTTTCTTTACAGGATCTAGGCTCATTCTTACTTCTTTGGGCTCCCAAAAACCCCAACTGTAGCATGTAGGGATGCAGGCCGTGATCTTGCATTGTAGTTGGCCCCTTCCATTGTAACAAGGGATGGTAAAATTGAGGAGACATTTGCATTTGTGTCTGAATTACCTCTAGGCTAGCACTTAGGGTTACATCCACCTTCCTTGGCTCTTACGTGCAGCATCTATGGCTTCTGGTGCCTCACCTGTGGCAACACAGCTTCTTTCCTGCTCCAGGGTGTCGGGTATAGCTGCCAAGCAGCTGCCCTCCAGCACTCGGACCCCTGTCCGGGGATGTCCCTGTCACTGTGACTATCCCGTAGTATGCTCTGTCATGTTGCTCCTTCCCTGATCCTCTTTGGACTAGTTAAATCACAGGCTTTTGAAGGCTGTTGGCTTACCTTGCACATTCGGGCCTCCTTCTTGCTGACTTCTTCCATGTGAATATAACGAAGTGGTTGATCAGTAATATTTGCCTGGCAGAAAGCTGCTATGGGAACAAACTGTGTTCTATTTTGATGGGGATGATGGGTGATTTGGCTATCGGTGAGCTCAAGGGAGCTGCTATGAGATGTGTCAGCAGCGCAGCCTCCATATGAGATATTCCTAATCCCCATAGCTGACTTTCATGCATATATGCACCAATAACTCCATCCCTTATCCTTATTGTAACCAGCTGTGGTTTGACTTTGTCAGAGATCTGATAGAGCTCCCTTACCCCCTCTCCCACTCCCTCCACAAACTCCCATTAGTCATACTTGGGCAGCGCATGAAATAAGGTGGTGATAAAGCTCTGGTCCTCGACACCAGAGTCATTCCTAGGGGCTCCGTGCTGGGCTGTGAAGACTCCACTGTGTTAACCCCTTGGTGCCTCCAGGCAGAATTCCCTAATGCCCGTAAGCCATGTATCATCTTGGGGTTGATAGAGCTCTTAGGGCAGCTTTCGTCTTAAGTAGAGATGGATTTATTACTGTGATGTGTTAGAGATTAAATGGGCTTTTTTGGCTTTTTAATTAGTCAGTGGGCTGAGGAAGACAGCTCTTGTGTTAAGGCACTGGCCATTTGTGAAAACCTGGGTTTTCTCTGTATCCCGTTGGTAACGCAGAGAGAATGTTATTTTTCTCCTTGTTGTTCATAGTACTTAGGCTAAAGATTAACTTTGGCAGAGTGACAAGGGGCTGCGTACTGGCCAAGAAACAATTCAGTCTGGAAGTTAGTGGAAGGTTTCTGACCACTGGGGAGGAGGAGATCATGGAACAGAAATTGGATGATTTTTTGAAAAAACAGGACAGTTTATCATTTGGTTAAATTTGGATTGCTTTTCTTGAGGGTGGTGAAAAGCATATCCTTGATCTGATGCCCATCACCAGGCAAATTTCAGGGCTTTCGCTCATAGCACAGATTTCTCTGCTGAGCAGGACACCGCTGTTTGAGCAGCTGAAGACCACCGGCCACTCCTGAACCCCTGAGCCACTGCTGCCCAAAGCTGCGGCCGTACTGCCGATGTATCAGCAAAGAACCGTACATCGCATCCTTCCCTTTGCAGGCCAGCGTGATACTTCGAGGGGCAAACACCAGCCTTTTGGAAAGGCACAAATATTTTAACTGCTGTTTTGCTACCTGTCAGGTAGTCACCTTTGCAAAAGGGAGAGAGGGTGGGCAGAGCTTTGCGGGAAGGGTGGTTGTTTTGGTAGCCCTCTCGGCTTTCTGCAGTGTTTGCACATCTCAAGCATTGGAGATGTCATTACCGACTTGGGTGGCTGAAGCTTGTGAGTCGTTCGGGAGAGCTCTGCTGCTTTTACAGCAGGTTGAGAGCTCCTGGTGTAAATCTAGTTCTTAAGGCAGTGCAAAACCAGTAAATCTAGGCTGATGTGTCTGCGTGGGGCTGAAGCAAAGCTTTGTACTTCGCCGAGAGCGAGCGGGGTCCAAGGACTTTGTCTCTTATCCCCGTTGTGATTTAGAGCTAACTGCTGAGCTGATGGCAGCCCAGATACTCACCAGTAAAGTTAAAAATAAACCGCTTGAATTTCTCTGCTGATAATTGAAGCAACTTTTTATTTTTTTTGTGATATTTGATGTAAAATCAAGCCAGGGCGCTCTCCTCCTGTGGGCAGTGCCTGCCCAGTTTGTGACCCCTGAAGTCCCACAGGCTTTTCCTACTCTCTCAGCAGCAGTTCGGTTTCCGAGATGCTGACTTGCTTCTTCTGGTTCACTGTGTCTGGTGAAGATCTTAGAGATCCTGTGCGTTCAAATAAAAATTCAAATGCTAGTCACATTATTGGGAGGAACACTAAAACCTTCCGATCCAAATCTCTTTTGTTGCCCTTTGAGGCTGTTCTGCACCTGTAGCACTGGTGGAGTATCCTGTAGCTGCCTATGAACCCGGTTGCTGCTGGACCTGATACGTTAGGCTAGAACGAGGATCAGACTGAGCCGATGCCAGAGGCAAGCAGGACCATCTTGTTGTCAGGAGAGGGTCTCTCCAGCCACGACAGACTCTGTTGGTCCTGCTTCTTCCAGTCCTCACTTGTACGCCGGCTCTGGAGGGTGCTCTTGTTGGGACGCGTAGCCCAAAGCAGCTCTGGTCCATGCGTGAAGTCCTTGGTTGTCACTGCGTAATTGCCAGCAGCAGTACATCTTTGCAATCCTTGGACACCTTTTCTAGCACATCCAGAGACACAGACAAAGGCACTGCTTGAAGATGACGTGCAGAGTACTGAAAGCTGCTGACTGATGCTCACAGGGGGTCTTGCCTGTGTGGTTGTTTATTTGTCACCAAATAGGGGAGCGGTGTTTATAGAGCTCTCTGCAGTGGTTTGTGTTTGCTGCCCTAGGAGTTTCATTTACTCCATTCACAAACAATTGCAGTAAACAGGCTGTAGTAACGTAGTAATTGAACTATTTCCTTCAGCTTCTGCTCTGAACTCGGCTTCCTGGCTGCATTCTTGGATGCAAGACTTGAGAAACCAACTCTTTAAAACTTTTTAAGGGGAAGGAGATGTCTCATTTTTGTGGCAGCATCTGTAAAGCATGCATTCTATCTTGGACATCCAGGAAAGCTACTGCGCCCGCCATTCACCAGTGCTTTGGTTGTCTTTCCCAGTTGATCACGTCGTTCCTGAGCCAGGGACCAGTTTGCTGACTGCGTTCGACCAGTGGCGAGAATGGGCAGACAGCAAATCCTGCTGCGACTACTCTCTGCATGTGGATATCACCGAGTGGCATAAAGGCGTCCAGGAGGAGATGGAAGCTCTGGTTAAAGATCATGGTAAGTTCAGTTAATGACAGTTCAGGGAAGCCTTTCCCCTCCTTATTTTTTAGGACTGGCTCTTGTGCAATATTTCACTCTTACATCCCAGTAAAACTGTTTTGGGCCCTGACATTAACTTGGCCCATTCTGGCTTCCTCTGAAGGTTTGGATGGTCGCTGTTGTAGAGTGCTCAGGGGGATGGTACACACTGGTGTCCCTGCAGTGTGTTAGGTGGGTGAGTGTTGCTTTTGCAGAGCTGAATCTCTTGTTGCTGCCATGCAGAGAAGCACCTTTGTTCAGTGGAGGCCCTTTGATTTTCGTTAGTGCAGGTAGGTGATAGCTTCAGCCATTCAACTGTTGTAAACAAGGGAAGAATCAGACCCAGAAGGAACAACCCAGTGCTGGTTGCCAAAAGTGGAGAAGAGATGAATAAAATGACCTCATAGGTTTTTCCCCTCTTTAATTTCCTTGATGTTTCATCCTTAGGCTAGAGTAATTTTCCATCCTGTTTGTAGCTTAAAAAACCCAGCCTTTTACATCCTAATGAGTGCTTTCCCACACGTGCTGGGTGAGAGCTTTTGCTGGTTGGGAAGGCAGGAGAGGGAAAGCCAACTTCGGAGCACTCCCTGTGTCCTGGTCCGTACGAACGCAGCGGAGGAGGGCATGCTTGCAGACTTCCCATCACTCTCGCAGGAGGGAGTCAGGGATCAGGCAGCCAGACCCAGTCTCTGCTTTTGTGTGTGATGCATTTTGCTTATATTTTTTACTCAACCTCCTACAGTGCTGAATCCACAGAAGTGTTCTTATTTCAACGTTCGAGTGGAAGCCTAGGGGTTGAGCTGTCCCCATGGCTGGAGTGCAGGCTCCTCCGTTCTCATCAGTTGTGTTAATAAATACCACATGGCTGAGGAGATCTTGGCTTTACGCCGTGATCTGTCAAGAGTGCCTGTGTCTGTGTGCGCGCGCATGTGTGTACACATTTCACAGCAGATTAAAGCAATTTATTTGTCTACCCATCGTTACTGCTTGCTGGGGGGCTGATTGAGGGGGACATCTTCTCTCTACGAGAAACCGCGTGTTTCGTAGCTTTGTCTGTGCATGCGATTTGTACGTCGAAGATAACTCCTTTGCTCTCTTTCTACCAGGTGTGAACTCCTTCTTGGTTTACATGGCTTTCAAAGATCGCTTTCAGCTAACTGATTCTCAGGTAGGAAGGCGTGATGTTCACGTGCTTCTGTCACTGCAAGCTGTGCATCAGTCACATATAAGGGTTCAAACTCAGTGCACTGGGATCTGACACTCTCTCCTGGTTTCAATCTTTGTATGCAGAGTGGTACCCAAGACTTGCAACATTACCCCGAGCTCTGGTTGGAAGATTATTTTTTTATTAAAAAAAACCCCCAAACATCAACAGCAAACCCTGAAAGGCTTGACTGGGGAAAGCAATGGCAAAACCCTCATTTTGAGAGATCTAAGGTTTTATTGCGTCGTCTTCTGTGTGGAAGCAGTGGCAGTTTTATAAATTGCTGCTTTATGCCTGGGTGCGGGGCAGGACAGTGAGACCTCTGGCAGAACTACTCTGTGTGTTTATAAGCTGAAACTGATCCTGGTCCAGAAGTCGGTTTCTGGCTTTAGCGTTAGAATCGCTGGCACCTTAAAAAGGAATTGCCCTCCTGTTTGCTATTGTGGTGGATACGTTTGGGTACATTTAAGCGTTGAGATGGGCAGTTTATATTTCTAAACATGGTGGGAGGAGAGGAATGCCTGGGAGTCACTTGGAACAGTGTGGGAGGCAGCGGTGTATGACTGTTATCTCTAAGGACTCTGGTAAGCATTTTAATGAGTGACCACTGACGGAGCCAGCGTCGGTTGTGGGTTACTCAACCTAAGCCCTCTCAAACTGGTGTCTGGAGTGGGAAATCACACTGCCCCTATCCCAGGCAGTGAGAGAGGTGGGTGCAGGTTCTCTGTGAAAATCAAATGTAAGGGTGTTTTTTTGTGCCAGGCACCAGTAAATGAAGGCATGAAACAGGTACAACTCTGTGAGCTCACCAAAATCACTCCCGATGTAGGCTTGTGCAGCTGCTGTTTCTTCCTCCAGTGTGGTAAATGTGCCAAACCTGGCTTTTGAGTAGTACTTCTTTGCCATATCAGTAGCATCCGACTGTACAGATTGGGAAATTCAGCTATAGGCAGGAAAATGGATCATATCTGTCCAGCAACCACATCTTATATTTCTTAATGCTTCTCTTTCTCTTTTCCATTCTGCAAATTTCTGTATGCTGAAGGAGCCTGGAGCGTATACGTTATAATAGGTGTATACCTGAGTGTACACTTAGGGTGTATTGTAATGTATGTTCTCTGTCTTCCAGATATATGAGGTCCTGAGTGTAATCCGGGATATTGGCGCGACAGCTCAAGTGCATGCTGAGAATGGTGACATCATTGCTGAGGTATGTTATGTTTATTCTGCGGATTATTAACTTCAAAATGCTGGGAGGGATTTAAACTCGAGTTCCTTCTTGAAAACAGAAAATGACCAAGACTTTTAAAAGCATGGCATAGCTCTGTCAATGATGCAAGCAGAGCTGTACATCAAATCTTATCCCCTTCATTGCCACTGCTAAGGCAGGTTTACATGGCAGGTTTCAGTTTGTGGTGGGTATCGGCCATCTCTGCCGTTCTCCCCGTAAGTGAAAGACTGTGTCTGGGTGTGACTGTCGCTGTGTACAATAACATGTTCTGTGGTAACTAAGACTGGGGGGGTGGGAAGGGAAATAGCTTCATACGATACCCGAGATGCTGATGCTTGGGATCTGTTCATCCTTTAAACAGCAACAAAGAAGAAATGTTAGTAATAATATATTTGGATTTAATCTGATCTCCACCTCATTTTATACATTATGGCTCAAGCATGCAAACTTGGTGTTGCAGAGGGTTTCTGCGTTGTCTGACTGGGGAAGGGCCCAGCTGAGCCTTTGAGCCCAGTCGCCTGCAGGTGCAGGATGATTTTTTTTTCATGAGGTACCGTTTTGCCACATCTTGGAGATTATTTTACAGACACAAATGAGCAGTGAAAGTTGAGGGGCTATGAACCCAGTGTGAAGAAAATCAAAACAAAAGGTTTCCCTGACCTCCTGCTAACAAATCAGCAAGGGTTTTGTGAGCTCTGGTTATTCTCAGCAAGGGGAGTTGGACAGGACTCTTGTTCTAAGGCACTTATGTAAAGCCCCGTGTCATTATTAGCTAGCACAGATGCCTAGGATCTCACTTGTACCTCTTTCAAACAGCTGTGTTTGCTGCAACGAAAAATGTGTGTTGCTTTAAATCTTTTTGCCTGCTCTTTTTTCTGTTTGCCTTAGGAGCAGCAAAGGATCCTGGAGCTGGGGATCACAGGCCCTGAAGGGCATGTGTTGAGCAGACCTGAAGAGGTGAGGACTTTACTGCCTTTCCATTTATTCCCCCGATTTATAGCATTTCTGCACTGCCATCAAGTACTTCATATTGGGATGAATGTGGCTGGGAACATGATTTCATCCTGGCTGTAAACATTGTTGCTGCATGGGGTAAGGGAAGAGACGAAGACACCTGTAGGGACTAACTAGTTGACTAGTCCCTTCTAGACACTAACTGCTGTGGGTACTTATGAGGAATTGAGGAACCCCCTCAGCTTTGTACTCAAGAAAGGGACATCTCCAGGGAATAATTCATCCAGCCTAAGATTAGATTCACCCTCTGGAAAAGCTCATCTCTTTCTGTTAGTTATTGGAGATAGTCTGTAAAGGCTCTGCTTACACATCAGGTATCTAAAGTGAAGTGAGATGTGTTTAAACCACAGAGCCTATGATCTGTCAGGATCCTGACGTTCTGTCTTAGGCACTTGCATAGCTTCCATTGCCATAGTATTTGATCATTTGATGAACATTTTACTGATGGTGGATTTTTTTACACCAACAGACTAAGTGGTTTGCTGAGGGCACGGCAAGTACGTACCAGAGAGGGGAACCAGTTCTCAGATCTTAGCCCAGCACTTTAATGTAGTTAACCTCCATATGTCCCCATTGATTTCTCTAGGGTCAAGCACCCCAATCCCTCTCACTCCCTCTCAGTCTTCAAAATATATCTCAAGAGTAAGAACGAACCGTAAAGCTTTGCTTTTCAGGTTGGTTCCCATTGCGTTCTTTGTTTCCAGTCTTGCAGTATCTCTAAGCTAGACGTCTCACCGTGGCATTCTGGGTTTGTGAAGTCCATCTGTTACGTACAAGCAGTTCTTTTTGTTCCCCCAAGATATTGGGGCTTTGCTCACTGCCAGATGTGGCAGCTGGAAGCTGGGTGTGTGAGATCATCCACACGTGCCCCTGATGCTCCCTCTCTATTTCCTTCCCTTGGTTCAGACAAGCAGCATCCAGAGACATTTCAGTAGGAATATAAATCATTCAGTTACTTCACGCAGAAAAGGAAAAAAAAAAAGGCTTGACTTGGTCAGTATGTGAATCCTCACGGAATTTGTGTTTGGCTCTGGGAGCTGGGATTTTTTGCTTCCTAAAAGTTGTGAGCAAACACTTGCACTGAGCTTTCCACTCACCCACCCCTGCCCTTTTTTTTTTTTTTAAAAAACATATTTTTTGGCTTGCATCAGGAGAGCAGGAACAGATGCTGACATGACACTTGGGGCTTATCTGTGGAGCACCCCTCAACTTTTGTTGACTTCAAAGGAAGGCTGCTCCTTACCTTAAAGGATCTGGCCATCAAACTAGCCAAGTCTTGTCTGGCTACTTCAAAGCTCATCCTTAGTGCAGCAGGAGCTTTAAAGTGTGAACTGTGTGGTTCCCTGGCTTGGTTGGTTTGTTCCATCTGTGCAGAAATGTGTTCCTTCTCAGTACAGCACGGAAGTCTGCCTGAGGACACGTGGCTGCCTCAAATGAGGATCAGTAAAGCCTCTTCCCAATGTCACGGGGCAGCCTCTGTGCAGCTGAACTCAGCTGTGCTGTCTGCCCAGCGCGGAAACATTTGGTCCAAAATTCTCCTCCTTGAAAGTCATAGGAAACAGAACAGGAAGCGATGTCATCTGGTTCCCTCCCCTCCTTTTCTCCAACGCGGGAGTAACTTTGTGTTTTTAAAAACATACAACTCCCTCTAAGCTGGCTGATGATAAAGGCCAGATTCTGAGGGTGGCAGCAGATCTGTAATTCCTGTTGACTTCAGTAGGAGTGGATGTTTCTTTTATCCCTCTGGGGTGCTCTTAACAGTAGAATTGGCTTTTCACGCTGCCCCATATGGAGTGTAAAGCCTGTCCTAAGGACTTTATGATGGTTGTCATCTTACCGAAGAGCTGCTTAATTCAGACCTCCATCTACAGCAAACTAGCAGGAGTTGTTGAACAAGTCTGAAACATTTATTAAATCAAAACTCCCACTCAACTGAGTGAGACTTAGGTCAGAGTGAAGCATTCAGGGTCTGGCCATGTGTGTTTGTGTCTTGGAGCGTACACATCTTCTGAATTACCAGGTTGAGCAGAAGACATGAACTAAGGCTTAAGTTTCACTGCTGACTCATGGGTTCAGCTTGCTCACCTCAGTAACCTGGGTTGAGCCAAGGTGACGTTATTCAGCACATTGTTCCAGCCAGAAAAGGGAGCCTTAAGACACCACCGTCCCAAGTCAGCATCACCCATCACTTTCTGGAAAACTCTCCCCCTCATAGCTCAGATCACTCTGCGATGACTTTTTGGAGCAATCCATCATTTTTTGTTTTTATTTTAGCCACAAAAACGCTAAAAGCACAAGCAGGCCAAGTGCTCCAGGAAATGTCTGTCTTTTTTTTTTTTTTTTTTTCCAAGAGAACTGCTGTGCTAGGGCTTCTAATGCATACTGGTAATTGCAAACATTCCCTTTTAGCCTAGTCCTTGGGTTATTGTTTTGTGCCTGTCACCATAGCATCTGGGCACAAGGCATGAATTCAGCAGCATGATTCTCTTCTGTGCAGAAAGTATTCTCTTCCTGCTTAGCAGTTGCTCAAATGCCTTTTGGTCAAAAGTCCAGAGGTGCGTGTTGTCTTATCCCTGCTTCACAACTGGGGAAACTAAAGCGCAGCGTGGAAACGTGACTTCCAGGTGATGCAGTGACAGAGCTGTGCGCAGGCCTGCTTTAAATGGGCAGTTTGCGAACCGATGCCATTGCCTGGCAGCATCGGCCCATCTGAGTCCTCTCCTTGTCTCTCAGGAGGGACACGTATGCTTTTTTTGGCTCTTCCTTTCAGCCTCTGTCTTCCCTGCAAGTGCTGCTGGCTGTGGCATGCTTGAGTCAAATGTCCTGGAATAAACACCCGTCCTTGCAGCCTTTTCCATTTGCGTGGGGCAGCTGGGCCAGAAAACGTCCCCTTCTGTACATCAGCCTGCCTGGGGAGGGTTAGTCCCAAGCCCTGGCATGAGCTTTAACCCTTTTGGCACTGGAGACCAACCTACTGGGTCTGGGGGGCTGCTTTTCTTCTAAAAAGTCCCAGCTGTTGTCGTGTCGTTTTTCTTGAGCAGTCCAGCTGCCAGCAGAGCAGTGTTACAAGTGGTGTCTTCGTCAGTGAGCAGAGCTGTTCTGGGCACTTGGCCATCAGTCTGGGGAATACACAGGTTCCTAAGCTGATGGGTCCCCGATCTCAGGTACTTCTGATGGACCAAGCACAGTGCTAGGAGCCAGCACTCAATGTGTCCTGATTCTGGGACTGATGATTTGCGGCGCTTGGCCTGCGATAAGTCACTGTAGAGCAGATTTTCAGAAGTGCTGAGGGTGTGCCGGTCCCACTGGAGTCCGTGGGAGGTGCTGGTAGCCCCTTGCGTTTGGGAATCAGGTGGCTGATTGCTCTGGGTTTCAGTTTCCTCTGTTTGCTTGGAAAACATCTGTGGTATTGCAGGCTCAGTTCTCCATGGTAGTAGGCACTATGAGCATTACCCTGCTGTTAAATCTGTCATCTGGACTGCTTTGATTAGGATGTGTGATCCGTAAAAGTCTGCAGAGTGATGATGTTCATTCTGAGGCAGCAGTTGTAAAGGGACCCTCAATCTTGCTGAGGTTATCTCTCTACACATGCAAGAAAACGTAGTTGATTTATGGGGTAGTTCACACTCTGTCAGATCCAAAGCCAGATATTGTAGTGGAGGGTACAATTTAGGAGGCTTGTTTGCAAACGTGGCTTACCAGAGTATGCGGCTACAGCATCTCTCTTCCGCGTGGGCTGGAACATGAATAGTTTTGTTGAGTCAACATTTAGTTGCTTATTTTTGTCTAGGTTAAAGAAGGGGCTTAATCATTCTGACCTTGAGCACCTGGAGTGTTGTTTTAGGACTTAGTCTGCTTGCAGAGAAACTTTGAAGCAGCCTGGGAGAAAAGGTAGTAATGAGAGAGGACTACCGCTTGATGTCATTTTAATTATCGTGATTACAATGGACATTTTTCTGGCTCAGAATTAGAGAGGTGGAAATTCTGTCATCTTGGCCCTGCACACCCTGTTTTCCCGTGAAAGCAGAGGCTGTGACGCTCTGAAGGTGAATGGGATATGCTAACATGTGGGATTTTACTAACTTGCTACTGACTTTGTTTCTCAGGTGGAGGCAGAGGCTGTGAACCGGGCAATAACCATCGCCAACCAAACCAACTGCCCCCTTTATATCACCAAGGTGATGAGCAAAAGTGCCGCTGATGTCATTGCTCAAGCCAGGAAAAAGGGTAAGTTATTTCCCTTGGATGGAAGTGCCCTATTAGCTCATGCAGTTCGAGTCCTTGCCAACATACGCTTCATCCCTACAGGAAAGGTTTCTTTTTCCAGCGTTACCGTCCAGGCTGTTTTTTATAAGGTCCTAAGCAACTGCTTCTGTCCCATGTCCCGCAGACAAGTATTCAGTGGCCGTATCAGTGCCAGGAGCTGTTTCTTCTGTTCAGCCTAGAGCCTCTTTCTTCACACTCATCCTACCACATTGAGCCATGTGCCTTCATGTTACTGTAGAGTATTTCCATGCTTTCTCCATTTGATGAATCCCCCTGGAGATTGCAAGCTGTGTCCTCCTTCCAGCTGCCGCGGTCTTTCCTTGGTGCTTTCTGCTGAGCTGCTTCTTGGGGTCAGAAGTGATTCCAAGAGTCCTCATGGAGGTCTTGACTCACAAGCTGTGTTGGATTTAGTTGGAGTAGCCAAAGAGGCTACCGATTCCAGCTATGCACTGTGCTCCTTGCTTGTGAAATAGATACTCCTCATGTGCTGTAACTCACAGCCTGACATCCAAACAGGAATTGGCATCCGGTAGTCTGGGTTAGGCTGGGAATTGCAGTCGCTTCTGATAACTCTGCCTGAGGATGCTACATCTGAGTGATGCAGTAGCTTCTCCCGAGTCTTGACCCTGCTGTCTTGCCCCCAAGGAGCAAGGGTTGCAAAGCACAGCGAGTGCCTGTCTCCCGCCTTTATTCTGTGACTGAGCCCTTCATTTCTATTTAAAGCGGCTCTGGGTGGGTGAGTAAGCAGGAGGGATGATTTTCCCCCTTCTTTCCTCAGAAGGGTTGGATTTAATTTTATGCAGTCTAAATAAGCCTGAATGGATATACAGATGACATCACTTTCCATCTGGGTGTTTGGTGCGAGAAGGGCTAATTTCCTACCGCAGCAAACAGATTTGTGTTTGTGTGTTGGCTCAGAAGTGTTTTGATCCCATGATTCCTGTTAAACGAGTTCAGAGTTGGTAAGGAGGACTGGTTTCCAAGACATCTCTTTCTGTTCGTGGCATGGAAGCAGCTCAAGCTGTTTGGGATAAACCTTCCTCTCCTAGCTCCATTAGAGGAGATCACACTGAAATGAGAAGATGTGTTGACAAGGCAAAGTGGCTGCCTGTTGCATTACCCCAGAAAACGACTTGATGTCGTTTTACAACTCGGTCCTCGAAGCCAGGGAAGCATCCCTTCCTTTTTCTAGATAAAGTACTGAAGACACATGCACTACAGAGATGGAGCATCAACAAAAACACCTTCTTGCTATGCTCGCTGTCCCCTGAGACCACTAGCTGGCAGGTAGAGACGGGCATTGGGATGAGGGACCATACACTTATATTGCAGAAGCCGGACAACACCACCTGACTTGGGTGGATGTTGCCTTGCCTGTGAAAGGTGCTGGGATTGTCCCAGATGAATGAACCACAGAGCTCACTGCACTTAGCCTCCTGAGTGAACTAGCACACGAAGTTTTCATTCAGATTGTGTTTTCTCCTTATAAGGAGAATTTGGGGTATAAATAGCACGCCATTCTTTGTTCCTTTATTTTAATTAATTCAGTTTAAATGCTGTGCAGTTACCCAACTGGGTAACCCAGGAGGGCCACACACACTAGCTTTGCCCTCCCAGGCAACAGAGGAAACATAACTGAAGGCTCTCCAAGGCGAAAACAAAACAGAATTGATTTGCTAAATGGAAAAGAACGAATGTTGTTTAAAGCCAGATGTTCCCAGTGCCATTTGTATGGAGGAGATTCCCTGCAGACTCTGTCGTTGGCAGATCTGGGAGCTCAAAACATTGCTCCCTGCAGAACAATCCTCCCAGTGTGTTGGCCCACAACAGGCCTCCCTTTAATAGCCAGCGTGTGTTTTGCCTTGTTCTGATTTCATAACCCTATTTGTGGCAAGTGATGTCAGACGGCCTCTTCCTCTGCTGGTGGATCCCCTCTGACAAAGGCTGGTCCTGCACCTCCTGATTCAGTGTGGTCCTGGAAGCAGCATGAAGCCAGTTAATGCATCGTTCTGCATCAGCTAATGCGGAGTTTCCCAGCTAGCTTGAGAGCCTGTAGACATAACAGTAGCTCAGATGATAAGGTGAAAGAAAGATCATGGTTTTTTGCTCTGCACGGTGAGGTGTGCAGGACTCTGCTGACCAATTCTGGGGTTGCCTTTGCTAGTTTTCTGATTGAAGTGTTTAAGGTTAGTATTTTATCTACCCACATCTTTTGCAGGCAGATAGAAATACATGAAGTATCTGGGCTCAGAAGCCAGATGGATAGGCACTTAACAGATATTTCAGGAAGGTTGCATTTGGTGAGCAGATCTGTGGGGCTACCAGCTTGCACCACTTTTGAAGTTGCAGCATCTTGCATCTGCTTGGTGTGCAGATGTTGCTGGTGCATTCCAGCCTGCAAGTATTGTGGCCTTAAGGATCCGCTGTTCCTTCATGTGGTTCCAAAAATGTTAATGAAGAGGAAGGATGCACTGGTGGTTAGTGCACTGGACAGAGAGTCAGAAGATCCAATTTAATTTCCTAGTTCTGCCACAGATTTACCATGTACCCTTGGGGGAATCACTGTTTCCCTGAGCTGCATTTGTGAACCAGAAACACCAATGCTTCCTCTGTGATGGGCTTTCTCTAGGCAGAAAACTTTCCTGATAGGAGTTTTCTCTTATCTGATTTATGCACAGAGCCTGCTCCAAGAGACCCGGCTTTGTTGTATCTTTAATATATACACGTTTATAAAAATATTGCAGGTGTTATTTTTTTTCATTCTTTTTCTTCCACATCCCTTCTAGATCAGACTAGATCTCTTCACGTTCTTACAGTTCCCCTCAGCCTCTTTCCTTAGGTTCTTGGCCCAGGATACAATACGATGGATCTTTGCAGTAACCCTTTCAAGCACAACTAATCAGTGCCAGCAATTGTGTAAAGGCATCATGCGCATTTTGCTGCTCCAAGCTCTTACCAGTAACACTATCTTTATTATTAACTCAGGTATTTACTTGTTTGGATATTTAGTCTGAGGGACTGATTTTTGGAAAATGGTCAGTGTTTCCTTAGAGATCTCAAGATAGGCATGTAAAATTAAGAGTTTGCTTCTGAAAACATGTCCCTAGAAATGTAACACAATTTCCGAGGAGCATTGAACAGGCCAGGAGTTTAATGATGTCTGATCATCTGGTTATGCAGGGCAGTGAATTCAATCCAGTATTGTCTCTGTGATCACATACTTAAGTGGAGGTACCAAGAAACCCTGCAGCATGCAATGCTGGCATAATTTACCCAACTTGTCCTTTTTCAGAAGGATGCTTTATGCCTGGAAGCCAGGCTGGCGATGGATGTTGCTTGGTACTCACAGTGGATTTGTCTGTATTCCTGTCCTGTAGGCACTGTGGTGTATGGAGAGCCCATCACAGCCAGCTTGGGTACCGATGGATCTCATTACTGGAGCAAGAATTGGGCTAAGGCAGCAGCTTTTGTTACTTCCCCACCACTGAGTCCTGACCCAACCACTCCTGATTTTCTCAACTCGCTACTGTCCTGGTGAGTAGAGCTCTTTGTGTTCATACAACATGTGCTTCATCATGAGACAAGTGCGTGATAAAAATACTAGCTGTTGTTGCCAGCAATCAAAGGGCTGTTTTACCTTTGGGAGTAAACCTGTGACAAGAAAATATCTTAAATACCCATAATTGTCTTTTCCAGTGGAGACCTCCAAGTTACTGGCAGTGCTCACTGCACCTTCAACACTGCTCAGAAAGCTGTTGGGAAGGACAACTTTACCCTGATCCCTGAAGGAACCAATGGGACTGAAGAGAGGATGTCCATCATCTGGGATAAGGCTGTGGTATGTCACACGTGTCACAGGCTTAGGCTGCAACTTGACGTTCAGAGCTGAAAGAGCTGCAGCAGTGTGTTATTATCTCCCCCCAGATGCTTATTATGGTGGTTCTGCTTGAGGTTTTTGCCCCTATAGAGATCACTGGGAATCTGCTGTGCTGTCAGCTGTTTGCTTTTCAGAGTGGTGCCCACCTGGCTAATGCAGTGACTCCTTTTGTCTTTCCCTAGGTGACTGGCAAGATGGATGAGAACCAGTTTGTGGCTGTGACCAGCACAAATGCAGCTAAAATCTTTAACCTGTACCCGCGGAAGGGCCGTATTGCAGTGGGCTCGGATGCTGACCTGGTTATCTGGGATCCTGACAGTGTCAAGACAATCTCTGCCAAGACTCATAACATAGTAAGGAGTTTTCCACGATGTGAGCTCTGCTGCTCACTTCCTCCTCTCTTCCTTCAATGCCAGACTGTGCTGCCAAGAACTAGAGCTCCTGACAGCTCAGGGCTTTGTTTTCTCGATGCCCCAAGCCCTCTCTTGTCTTACACCCAGTACAGCTCACTTGTGTGAGCAGAAGGGAAGGGAAGACGATTGAGTCCAAATCTGAAATCACATGAATACCCAGAGATCACCCTCGGAGCAAAGAGATTGTCTGCTCTTTCTGAGTGTTGGATGCTTGGATCTGAGCACACAGAAAGCTCTTTAAATCTTCTAAAATATCAAAAGGCTTTTTACCACAATGTGTCATTTATGACTTTCTGGCTTGCTAGCAGTGGGAGTGTGAGCTGCCCCTTTTCTAGTTGGGGTCGGTGGAGCTTGTCAGCTCGTGAATGCCTTCGCTGGAGATCTGATCCAGATCAATGAGTCTGAGTGGATTTACACCACGTACTGATCTGGCACAGGTGTGTGGAGTCATAGACGTGATTTTACTGGTGATCATCCCAGTGTTAGTTGGCACAGGGAGGCACAAAGTAGCACCTGGGCTAACCAGACCTTGCCCTTTATTTATTCTGCAGCTTTGTGGTGGCTCTGTTAAAGGCACTGTTTGCTTGTGGCCTACAGCGGTGTCCCATATCTTATACCTGGCTCCTGCAGTGAAAAAGCTGTCCCACCCTGTGGGAAACTGCAGAATGGTCCCGGTGCAAAGGACTGGTTGGAATCTCCCTGTGACATTCGAGCACTGTCTCAGAGAAAGCAACCACTGTTTGCATTTGTTGACAACTTGTTTCACTGCTGGCGATGAACCTATGGAATGTTTCCCTGGAAAAAACCTCCTTGTTCTTTTTTCCGTGAATGCTTTCATTCACTCTGGAGCTGAAGGAGCAAAATTTTCTTCCACACTTGGATCCCTGGGCACATTCACAAAGAAACTTTTTTTAAAGGTTTGGTTCACTTCCCTGTGACTTAAGCCTGTGTCAGAATTGGTCACAGATGGCCTGGATTCATCCTGCCTGTGCTTAAACTTCTAACAGAGGCATCCAGACTCAGAAGTCTGGTCACTTCAGTCACCTTAGAGGTACTTCCAGACTCATCACACCTCCAGTTTGGAGAAGGATGACTTAGAGGAGGGAGCCCAGGGCCATACTGTTATTAGGTGCCAAATTTAGTGGTCTGACCCTGGGTTTGTGCTTATGAATGGCTCAGAGAGCTGGAAGTAGCTTGCTGGATGGAGTATTTGAAGGTTATCGCCATTTAATGGCTATTGTCTTTAGGAAATGAATTGGACTCTTTAAATTTTTTTAACATAAAACTCAGAGACTTTATCTTTTGTGGATATGCTCCAGTACCATCAGGACTGACTCCGTGATTTTGCCATAGATCTGAGCTAGGCTGAATGAAGCAACCATTCAGAAATACTTTATACGCTAGGGATGCAGATCCCCCTGAAACTCTTGAACCACGTAAGAGGCCTCAGCACTGAATGATCAGCTCTTGCCAAAGGCTGCATCTTTACGTTGTGCCAAGACTGTGGAGGGTGAAGGGCGCTTGTTTTCAAGTGGTTTGTTTAGAGCTTGAAGGGCTGTCTAAGAAATGGCAGCTTTTCTTCTTACATGTGCAGCTCTAACCTCTTCCCCTGTCATTGCGTCTCCTGCTATACCTGGCATTACACCTGTTGGGGTATTTTTTTTTTGTGTCTCACACTGCATCTGTGCACTGTGTTAGAGGAGAAATTGATACAAGTGATGCCTTTAGAGTCAAGGCATCCTAGTTTGGTCAAGTGTAAAACAAAAGCCCCTTTGAAAGGCAGGCAGAGCATTTGCTGCGACACAGGGAGATGTAGTGATTATGTGGCATCAGATGATTGTTGCTTTTTTAAATGCTGGAGCAACATACGGATATTTTCCAAGAATTCACACTGCTCTTGCCACTGCCTGGCAAGGAAACATTAGGAGCTAGGGAGGGGAAATAGTGTTGTTCTTGGAACCAGCCTAATTCATAAGCTTCTAACCAAGCCTCCTCCTTTGCCACCACAACTTTTTTTCAGACTGGACCCAGTTCAGTGTCAGTTTAACCGCAATTCTAGCTAATTGTAAATCTGCAGTCAAGCATACCCATACTTATAACACACTTCAAGAGCAAACTCCTTTATTAACTCAGTAAAAAAGACCTGGATTTGTCTCAGAGTTGGTCACTAGAGTAACAGTCCCCAAATAACATGGTGGTAGTACGTCTCATGGTAGGATGCTTCATGGGTGGGACATTTACCAGTGATTCCTTTAAAACTTGTCTTTTTTCCGTGGTGTAATGTTTCCAATCCTGTTAATTGAGGATGAGCAATCCCATTAGAGTAAAACAAGATTGTCCTGGTCCCTGACCCATCAACCAAAAGACTGGTTTGAAATACAACTTCTCAAAATTAGCATTATTTTTAGTGTGAAACTCAGATAAAACTTTATTTGACTCATAAATCGCCCGCAATTCAGAAGAGATAGGCACCTAAATGCATTTAAACAGGTAGACTTTGAGATATTCTCCTTTGAAACTGTATTTCCTCTTTATGAATCTTGTTGCAATGGAAATTTTGCATGAGTAAATCCTTCATAAATTTAGATTGATAATAAAGATCAGCCTTTCTGTTAAACCACAGCATATACAACTCAGGTAAATGCTGTTGAGTTTGCTTCCATCTGTCCTTAAAATTTTGGCAATTAGCATGACTGGTGATGGCTAATTAAAGCACAGCAGGCTTTGCTGGGATGAATGTGTTTGCCTGATGTTGTCTTTTTTTTGTTTGTTCTAGTCCCTGGAGTATAATATCTTTGAGGGCATGGAGTGCCGTGGGTCTCCCCTGGTGGTTATCAGCCAGGGGAAGATCGTGCTGGAGGATGGGAATCTCCATGTCACCGAGGGATCTGGACGGTATATCCCCAGGAAACCATTCCCTGACTTCGTTTACAAGCGCATCAAAGCGAGGAGCAGGGTGAGTATAAATGGTTGGATGCACATTTGTTCTCTCACTGAAACTCCTGAGTTAAAGTGGGTGGAAAACAGATGCTGTCCCCTGGCTCGCAGACGCACACTTCTGCAACAGAAAGTGCTCCCTGGATAGGTGCCATATTTATCTCATTCCTCTTTCATTTTTGCTATTCACTTGAGTCATTGCAGGAGTATGCTTTGGCTTGAGCTTGGATTTTCTGCAAATTTTATTTTTCTGCTCTTTGATTCTTCTCTGTTTTGGGACACCTAGACAGAGCATGTGTCCAGGAACTGTCCAGTTTGGACATCAGTCAATCTGCAAATAACCTGGCAGGCTTCTCCTGTTACAGGAGTACCAAGAGAAGTTATTGATAGCATTTATGTACCAAACCTTTCAGCAACAATTTCTAATTCTAATTTATTGTTATAGATACGTTATGCTGCTTTCTCTTCTGTCAGATATGATCAGATGCTCTTGTCTGGTGACTGGTGAGTCACAGGCACAGCCTACTGACTGTTTAAAAGTGGGAATTTTCTATTTTTAAGGGGCTAAAATTGTTGGAAAAGTGTTTTTGTAAAATACACCCATTCAAAACAGAAGCTACCATTTGATATGCCTTTAGTTGGAGAAGATGACACTGAACTCAGCTGCAGCTTAGTTGGCTGAGAATTGAAGAAGTTTATTTCTAGGTGAAGTCAGATTTCTGAGGAGAAAAGTGTTGTGATCTTTGAAGTTTTGCCCTCTCCTGCACAAAACCAGAGCTGGGTTAGTTCTGCTGACCATAGGTAATCTTCACATTCCTTGCAAATGATCTTTCCTTAATTGTTCTTTTGAAGAAATTGCAAGTTATCAAAATTACAACCTCAAATAATTTAGCACCACAGAGAGCACAGATCTATGCTTTCTGTTGTGTTCTGGTCTCCCACAGAAATACATGTCTGACCTATAAATCCAATTGGGCAGCATCTCAACTGGAATAATTGCATTTAACCCAATCTAAAGCTCCCAAGCTGGTGATCTGAAGCTAGCCTGGCTCCTCTTTATGCAGACCTGCCTCTGTCTCAGCTTTGTTTTGCTTTTTGGGGTGGAGTAATAAGTTGCATATGAGAGTTGTCAGGAGCCTTTAATCCAACAGCAGGTAGGCTGAGCTCATTAAAGGACAGAACTTGCGGGGCAGGGGACAGACTGGCCGTCTTCAGCAGGCTGCTCACACCAGGTAGCAACCAGCTGGAGCCACGGCAGTCCAGAGCATATTTCATTTTATCCATGCTGCTTCAGAGACTCGCTACCACCCGAGGATCGGCACGGAGGAGATGATGTATGCTTTCAAATCCTCTTACCAAAGACAAATCTTCAAATGTGCGTCTTCGACTTAGCAACATCTGGCCAGCTGTTTAGTTGTGTTTTGAAGACTGTTTTGACCCTGAAGGCTGCCTGCTTCTGTGTTTTGCAGCTGGCCGAGCTGCGGGGTGTGCCTCGAGGCCTCTACGATGGACCCGTCTGCGAAGTGTCGGTGACACCGAAGACCGTCACACCAGCGTCTTCAGCTAAGACGTCTCCTGCCAAACAGCAGGCCCCACCCGTGAGGAACCTGCACCAGTCTGGATTCAGCTTGTCTGGTATATACTTTTGTGGGGCTAAATTACTTAGTGCTTTGAAATCACGGCTTGTTTATACTCCCATACTCTGAATTAATTCTGCTGAAATTGGAAGGCAATGAGGGAGACTGTGGGGTGTTCTTAGCTTGGAGGTTATCCCTTTGGGAAGGAAGAAGAGCAGTACAGGAGCTATCATAAAGTCCTGCTTATTTTCATGCCGTGGCATGAATG